TAGGTCCATAGTCTCCAATGCTGCTAGACGGAATTTTCTGAGTTTAGTAACAATAAGTTCATGCAGTGAAAACATCTGAAGTAGATAAACTGAGACGTGATTAGGTTTAGAGAAGGATTGTTTAGCATACTTAAAAAATATTTAAGTATGCTAAAATGCTCATTGGAAAAAGCCAGTAAAAGAAAATGTTGTCAATACAAGAAAGATGAAGATAATCCATATTATAACGTCTTTAACGGGATTAGCGTTAAGTGAAAGGAAACTTATTTCTCCATTGTTACAAGAGAAGATGTTGTGTAGATGCAGCTAAGTGTTTAGATTTGGTGCTGGGAGGTTGAGATTGCAATAAACCAATTGTTTTGTCTCCCTTTCTGAAGTAAGGAATTAGGCCATTTGCTGAGAGTAAGCATTTGGATGAGTTTGAATGTTTGAAGAGATTGAGGTAATACAGAAAATAGTAAAGAGATGTCTTAAAAAGCTTGCGTGAAATTCCAGGCCACTTTGAGAACCCCATTGAGGTTGGTGATCAAGAATTGGAGTAGTGTCATTTCTCCAGGTTGCATAATTTTCTTTAGTAATTATGAAAAATGAGGCATGGAGATGTAACATAATTACCCAGAGTAAGACATCTAACAAGTGACATAGTTGAGAATCAAACATAAGTCTGTCTGGGTCCAGGGCACTGGAAAACATGAGGTACCAGCAGTGTCCAATCATTGCAACTGGTGAAGTCTTTTCTCACGTCAGGCTCAAAATGGACATTGGAGTTTCCTGCCAAAAGCCAAGGCTAGATAACACTCCCACCTGGTGCTAACAGAGCTAATCTAGGTAAGCTTACATCAGAGATGTGAAGCCAAGAACCACGGTCTATAGAGAAGCACCCTTTCTATGGCAATCAGGAGCTGCTATTTAATATTTTGAAGAGTATGCATGGGGAAAACAATATATTATTGTTTATATTTAATGATAAAGTTGACCAAGAGTGTATATTTAATAGTTTCTATACTGAGCATTTAGACATAGAGTAATTGAAGCATATGCTTCAGGTAGTAGTAAAAATAATCCCTTTGACTCAGATCAAAGTGGGGTACAGCAAGCAACAGGGACACAGAGGAGAGGCCTGAAAAAGAGCAACGGGAATCTAACCTAGGAGAGACACATGTCCAGTAGCTATCCATGGATATGGTCTTCACTAGTTTCTTAGTGAGTGGGGAAGGGACTATAAGGATCACACTTAATGTTATTTGTGGATTGCATATTTGTAAGTGTGTGTTTATGTGTATGTGCTTGAAATAATTATTTAGAATGTTCACTTGTTATTTCACTGTGTATAGGTTTAGTCATTTAAAAACGTTTTACTTTTTTTTTTTTGAGACGGAGTTTCGCTCTTGTTACCCAGGCTGGAGTGCAATGGTGCGATCTTGGCTCACCGCAACCTCTGCCTCCTGGGTTCAGGCAATTCTCCTGCCTCAGCCTCCTGAGTAGTTGGGATTACAGGCACGCGCCACCATGCCCAGCTAATTTTTTGTAGTTTTAGTAGAGACGGGGTTTCACCGTGTTGACCAGGATGGTCTCTATCTCTTGACCTCGTGATCCACCTGCCTTGGCCTCCCAAAGTGCTGGGATTACAGACTTGAGCCACTGCGCCCGGCCTCCCTTTTGTTTTTATAAGGTTTTTGAATAAAGCCTTTTATTGCTGTTTTCATACCTAAATGATTAGACAAGGTTAGACTTCAATCAATAAATGTGGTCAGGATATCTTATGGGTCTATAGCATCTTTATTCAGAGTTAAAAAGTCAAACTAGCAAAATATTTGCTGAAATATGACACAAAGTTTTAAAAAGCCTAACATCTAAAGACCTCTCACAAACTGATAAGAAACACAGTAACAGAAATTAAGTTCCACTGAGTGTCATATGATGGTGGAATTGTCCAAACAATGAATAAATTACTTAAAAAAAATCATGACCATATCAAGCAAAAGCAAATTGAAATACTTACTAGAAAATTTTATTAAATGTTGATCAGTGTAATACATTTGTCCATTAAGTTAATATAAATTAGAATATTATAATCAGTAATTTGCAGTAACTTTTATATTACAATATTGCTGTTGTAAGTAGAAATTTATTTATATTGTTTACTGAGAATAGCATGGAAAAAAAAGTAAGTAGAAATTTATACTTTTCTTCTGATAAATTCTACCTTGAGAAATATTTAGAATTATAGTAAAAGATTTACCTACTGAGCTGTACTAGCACAATAGCTGAGGCATATTTCCATGCAAAGGCTGGTAGGGACACTCCCTGTAATAAAAACCACATGGATGGACCATTGTCATTTTCTCTGGCTCAACGTCCTAACCATGAAACGCCCTAGGTAACCTTGCAAATGCCTGAGACCTGAAAAGAGCTCCCTTACAAGATAGGTTGTGTTCCTCAAAAGAGTTATTATATTCTTAGGAAAAGGCACTCAAATTGAAGTTGGTAGCTGCCCAATGCCCTTCGTCTTCTCAGAAGCAACATCTGTCTAAGCAGCACATTCCAAGAAGGAAATTTTCTACTCATGTTTTAAAGATACAATCAAAACACTGCTTGATTTTTAATTATAAGCAAAAGAAATCCACCTATAGATTTAAGCAGAAAGTTGTTGAGTAGGATATTGTACAGAGGTTTAGAGAACTAAGTTCAAAAACCTAAAGGAATAATAAAGGCTGGGTATCTCCCAGTAATCCAGCCAAATCCTACACAGCAAGAGTCTGATGTAGATACTGAATCCTGGGTGTTTCTGCCTCCACAAATGCTGCCCTTGAAAAATGTATATTGCTGCTACAGTTACTCTCTCACACAAATAGATTTCCCATGATTTACTCTTAAAAGTATTATTTGTTTCCATTCAAAGTTTGGGATTGGTGCAGGCAATGGATGAAGTTCATGTGTCTGCATCCTAGCAACAGAAGAGGTGTGAGTCATTAAGTATCTGATTTTGGTTTCAAATGGTGGGAAGTGGGTTCTGGCTCCCACTAAGATTTATGTGTAGGGAATGTGTCAAAGTGCAACCAATTTATTATTATTTTTTTAAGACAAAAGCCTATTGAACAAAAGGGAAATTAAAAATACACACTAAGGCCAGGCAAGGTGGCTCACACATGTAATCCCAGCACTTTGGGAGGTTGAGATGGGTGGATCACCTGAGGTCAGGAGTTTAAAACCAGCTTGGCCAACATGGTGAAACCCCGTCTCTACTAAAAATACAAGAAATATCTGGGCATGGTGGCTGGTGCCTGTAATCCCAGCTACTCAAGAGGCTGAGGCAGGAAATCTTTTGAGCTCTAGAGGCGGAGATTGTAGTGAACCAAGATCACACTATTGCACTCCAGCCTGGGCTGACAGGGAGAAACTCTGTTTCAAAAAACAAACCAACCAACGAAACACATTGAAAAATGTTATTAAATTAGCAAACATCCAGAATCTGCCATCAGATGGAAGGAGAAAGAAGAGGAAGGTAGTAAAATTATGCTAATTTATTTTTCATTCAGGTAAATAAAAAATATTATTTCACATAAATGGAAAATATGACAGCAACAAGAAAAATAATATGTAATATGAAATATGCTAGGAAAGAAACAAAACAAAATCTTGTAGAATGGGTGAAAATATGGCTGGGTGCTGTGGCTCATGCCTGTACTCCAAGCAGTTTGGGAGGCCAAAGTGGGCAGATCACAAGGTCAGGAGATTGAGACCATCCTGGCCAACATGGTGAAACCCCCATAACTACTAAAAATAAAAAAATTAGCTGGGCATGGTGGTGTGTGCCTGTAGTCTCAGCTACTCAGGAGGCTGAGGCAGGAGAATTGCTTGAACATGAGAGGCAGAGGTTGCAGTGAGTCGAAATCATGTCACTGCACTCCAGCCTGGCAAGAGCAAGACTCCATCTCAAAAATAAATAAATAAATAAATAAATAAATAAATAAATAAATAAAAGAATGGTTGAAAACACTAAATTAGAAGGAATATAAAGTATAATAAGTGGGTTCTGGAATGTGTCTATGCTGGTTTCAAAACAAATTCTACAACTTACTAGCTATGGGGCCTTGGGAAAGTTATTTAAAGATTTTCTGCTTCAGATTTTTTGCATTTATAAAATGGTATGCAAAACACATTAAAGGAAAGCTGACTCAGCAGAAAATGTGTAAATGTAAATATATTCCTAAACAAACTAGAAATAATGAAAATTTAAAAAAATTAAGCCTTTAAGAAGTCAAGAACAGGAAAATAAATCTAAATATTATTTAGAAAGAAAGAAATTAATAAAGATATATACAGACATTAATAAACCAGTAAATGTAAAATGTTAAAATAATTGACTTGTTAACTAAAAGGGAATGGATATTTAGAAAAGAAAAAACAAATATGAAATAAGGTAAATTTTTAAAACTTTAATTAAAAAAACTGTTCTGGTGAAATGTTGAAAATGCATACACAGAAGAATGTAGTCACAGGTAAACTAATAAAACAAAATTTGCACTTATGCTGAAAAGTGTTAATTTCTTTAATATTCAAAGAGATATATAGAAATCAACAAAAAATCCTTAAAAAGTCCAATGAAAAATAGATAAAAACCACGAATGTACAGTTTCCAAGGGAAATAAAAGACAAAGATTCGAGTAATACCTTAGTTAAGACTATGTCGTTTCTGGCAGAGTGGGCTACATATTATAGAAATCTGGACACCAGTATAGAAAGTGCCTATAAAAAAGCCAATATTGGAGCCTCTATTCTATGAGAAGTGTGAATATATAATGATAAGGCAATTCATAATGGACATCTTTGAACTTCAGGGAGATGATGTTTCTCTACAATGCATATATTTAACCAAACTAGGCAATTTACAATAAATAAACCCATAATTTAAGAAACTGGGTGAAATAGACTAAATGAAAGGGGCAATGTCAAATATAAATGCCAGAAATATATAAGGAGATTTTCTGTCTTTGTAGGCTTTGTATCATGGACCAGATGTGAAAGCAGTTATTAACATGTATAGCAGACTAATCCACCGTGTTCGATATCGACATGGTCTTTGGAGGACAAGACAAATTGTCAACTTAGCAGAGCTAGAGGAATGGATGGACCGAAAAAAATGTAAGTGAGGCAGACACTTCTGGTTTGAATTTAAGCTTGGAGTTAATTTAACCATTGAAATTTTACATATAATTATCTGTAGAAAGCAAAGGTAGATTATATTTTATATTGTTGTAAACAATTTGCATTTTAAGTTAGCATATTGTATATTTGAATTAATTTATTAGAATTCTCTGCAAGTAACAGAAAACTCATTCTAGCTAACTAAAGCAAAGAAGAAATTTAATGGGAGAGTATTGCAAAGATAGTTAAAGAATCAGATTTCAGACTGAATATGAAACACAACTGCTTCAGAGATCTAGGCAGCAGGAAATAAGGGACAATCTCGATTTGCCTCTGGGGGATAGATAAGCCCTACCACTTAAAGACTCTTTGTTCCTATGCTTTAAATTCATATTCCAGGGAGACAGCAACTGATCTCTATAGCTTGAGTCAAAAATCCAATACTTTGCAGTGGGAGGGTAAGGAATCTTGCTTGAGAATTGCACAGAAACTGTGTTCTTTGGAGGAGGGGTAGCTGCACAAAGGAAAATTAAGTATTTATATCAGGACAATAGTTAATGGACACTGAGCATGCTAAACAACACACTGCCTATTAATATTAGAATTCTATTCACAGAACAAATTCTCCAATTTATATCTTAATTTTCAGAGATCCCAGTTTACATTTATATTGAAAGAATTCAGTATTGCTTAGGATTAGGATAGATTATTAGGGCCAGTTTCTTGGCTAAAAAAATGATACAAGCGAATTATATTTAAAAAGAATCATTTTCTTACTGCTTTATAAGGTAAAAATGTGAAAAATTTGGTTGCCTCACCTAGTCATACAGTGTTTATTTTACAGTTAAGACCGTAAGTTCCATGAAGACAGGGAACTTACAGATGGAAAGACAGGAAGATGAAAGAACAAGAAAGCAAGATAAAGTGAGAGAGGTGGAGAAGGGGGAAGATCCTTCTCCCATTAGGAAGCTACTTAGACTCTTTTCACTTACAGAACTGAGAGAGAGAGAGACAGAGAGAGAGATAGTGAGAGAGACATATATTTATCAGTAAATACTCACTATCTAGAGAATGCCTGGTTTATAAGAAGGGCTAAAAATATTTGTTAAAATTATATTTTTTTATTGTTTATTAGTTTTGATAAAATTATGTGCCAAAAGCTATTTACAGATAACCGGAACTCTTTGAGTTAGAATAATTTCTTTTCTGTGACTAGAGGTAGAGGGAGGAAGAAGTCAGAGAGAGAGGAGAAAGAGAGAAAAGAGAGAGCATGATTGTTGTATATAAGTCAGAGGTTGCTAGATCAATTCACCCAGCCAAGCCCAATAGCCTGGTTTCCAGAGAAAAGAGCAGAAAGAGCAAAGTGTTAGAGAGATGGAAAGACAGGAAGAAAGAACAAGAAAGCAAGAGAGAGAGAAAGGCAGAGAAAGAGAAGATCCTTCTCCCATTAGGAAGCTACTTAGACTCATTTTACTTATAGAACATATATATATATATATATATATATATATGAGAGAGAGAGAGAGAGTGAAAGAATGAGTGTGTCAGATTTTAAGACTTTTGCCCATAAACTCTCCATACCACTAATACAAAATTCAGGAAGATCTTAGTACTTTTATATGGTTAGTAGTTTATATTGCGTAATGTAATATGAATGTGCCGATTTTATACTATTTATCAAAATATATACTTTACAGTTACTTTACTGACAACCTTTTCTTTTCCATTCACTTTAATTTTAAGCTCCTGACTTCCAAATAACATATTCTTTTCAAAATGCTCCTATTATTTTACTCAGTCTTCCCTTCATACCCCAAACTATCACTAAATTCATTTTTATTCTTATAGAATGTTGCTTATTTTTCATAGCTTTACTTTCTTTCCATGACTTCTCCTTCTCAATTTGTAACTGCAGATTTCAATATTTTTGCATCCTGAAATATCCCCTCAGTTTGAAAAATGTAGTTACTGTGATTTCTGTTTTCCAGCCTGAACTCTGATGCTTTCTGGCTGAGAAGCTTTTTCAGTAAACCTCTTGTAGAAAGTGAGGGATAAGCCAAGTAGATTATGAGGAAAGAAGTTTCTAAGCAGAGGGAGCAGCAAGCACAAAGGCCTTAATTTGGAGGCAGCTAGTCTTAGAGGAAGCCAGGAGACTAATATTACTGGAATAAAGTTTTGAGTTGAGAGCAGAGTAAAATGAAATTGGAAGGGTAGTGGGGAGTGCAGGTTGTGTCAAGCTTTATAGACCATTGCATTTTACCTTGAGAGAACTGGGAAGCCATTGGAGGACTGGGAACAGAGGACTATGAAGCAACTTGTGTTGCAGATATCAGTCTGGTAATTTTGTTGAGAATTGGTTAACATGAGGCAAAAACAGAATAAAGGAGTCCAATTAGGACAGATGGTGCTCTAATATAGGAGCTGAACAGTAGAACAGAATTGGTAAATGAATAATTTAAAGAATTACCAACCAAAAATCCATTTACATTGAGGGGCAACTCAACAGAGACATAATTTGCAAGTTCTAATTTATTTTCATGTTACTTAGAAAATTCCTTTCATCCTTTCTTCATCCATGTGTTGATGGCTAATTGGTTGACGATACTTGGCAGATATCTATACACCTTTTAAAGCATCTTTCAATAATCAGAAAATTTCATTAATTTTCATGATTTAAATTTTATATTTACCCTAAATATATCATCCTTGAATACTAATTCTCCTATCATGTTGCTGAAAGTTTGCTCATAGGGCATAATATACAGGTTAAGGGCACTGTTCTCAATTAATACTGTTTCAAAGACATAATATTAATAAGTATGTCAATATTATCTTGTGAGAAACATATAAAACTGATTAATTCAAGGGGAAACTAATAAAGCTCTATATACTTTTTCAAGGAGAAATACATTTACTTAATCACAAAAGTAAAAGGTGACATTCTTTCTCTTTTAGTTTAGAATCAGACCCTGAGACAAGAATTCAAGTACAACTAATTTTTTTGGAAGTTAATCCTAGGCAATACTGTTGATCAAATGGAGAAAGGAGACAGAGGTAAAGGAGTCAAAAGAGAGTCCAGTATCAAGCAAATTACTATGTGCACTACTAAAGCCTAATTCCTCTAGGTAACTAAGAAAAAACAGTGTAAACAACTTGCCTTTAGTGCTGGGTCTATATCAACCAGCTCCCCTGAGTCAGTGGTTGAGGTCCACTCCAAAAGGGGTCTTAGTTTCCTTTGTGTCTGGCTTGCTGCACCCGTGGGCTGAGTAAATGCCTGCAGCCAGAGGGAGCCCTTAGGCAATGGAATGCGGATGCTGACAATTGAAAGTCAAGTTAGCATGCCCAGAAGCAAGGGACATGGAGATATAGATGGGGCACTGAAAGAAACGATCTAGTTTGCTTATTTCAAAAGAGACAAACAGTCATAAATATAGTAAATATAAATTTTCATTTATTTTACTGCTGTGTTTCAGGATCTCAAATAGCTATTCATATTTAGACAATCATTAAATATGTCTTTAATTTGTTGACATCTCATGAATATCTCCCTCAATGAAATGAAGGAATGAATGGAAAAACTGAAATCCATGTGGTTGAGTACCAGGATGATAAAACTTCTGCTAGAAACCACACTGGTGCCCTTTGTCATTGACAGCAAGAGCTAAACCTGTGAACAGTCCTTGACATCCTGTAAATGCTGACTTATTCAATCAGCTTCACGGGGTTAAATGTAACATTTCAAAGTAGACACTCAGTGACACTTTTTGAAAAAAAAAATTTATGGAAAACTACATTTATAAAATATATGCATCAGTTCTCTTTCTCATTATCTAACTCCTTTCTAATGCCAAGTATGGGAGATGAGTGATAGGCCACCCAATTGAGTGGTTTTCTGTGGTAGTTTTCTTGAGCCAGGAGTGACAAAATACCTTAAATGTGAAAGTAGGGATCCAAGATGGCCAAACAGGAACAGCTTTATATTGCAGTTCCCAGCGAAAACACAGAGGATTAGTGATCACCACATTTCCAAATGAATTTATACTGCCCACTTAGAGACCTCATCTGAAAGTCACCAACTACAAAGACCACAGGTAGCCACAAGTCTCCAGCGTGGCTGTTTCAGCCAGTGCAGTGGGTCACCACACAAAAACTCACACAAATCGGGGTGCTGTTTTAATTGGTGACAGAGTTGCCCATTCAACTGTAAAAAAAGGGGGCTGAAACAGGGAGGTCCCACCCCCACCAAGACCAGCAATCTGAAATACTCTGGATTGAGAGTTTCACAGCAAGCATAGCTGGACCTGGGGTGGTCTAGCTCTGTGGGGGGAAGTGCATCAGCCATTACCGAGGCAGTCCACCACTACCGAGGCAGTCTGCCATTACCAAGGGAATCCGCCATTACCGAGGCAGTCTGCCATTACAGAGACAGTCCACCATTACTGAGGCAGAACACCATTACTGGGGCAGTTCTAACTATACCCCTATAAACAAAACTATAAGGAAGTTCACAAAGCAGTGGGCAAAGCCCACGGGAGCTCAGCAACACCTCTGCTGGCAGACTGTGACTAGGCTACCTCCTCTCTGGGCAGGTTGTCTCTGAAAAAAGACAGCAGAATGACAGGAACTTGTAAATAAAGCCCCACCTTCCTGGGACAGAGCACCTTGGAAAAAAAAAAAAAAGGCGGATATGAGTTCTGCTGCAGCAGACTTAAACGTACCATCCCAGCAGCTCTGAATAAAGCAATGAAGACAGAATCTCCTCAAGCAGTTCCGTGACCCCCATATAACCAAAGAGACACCTCATTAAGGAAAGCTCAGCCTGACATCTGGCGAGTATCCTTCTGGGACAAAGATAACAGAAGAAGAAATTGGCAACAACAGTTACTGTTCTGCAGCCACTGCAGGTGATCCCCAGGCAAGCAGGGTCTGGAGTGGACCTCCAGCAGTCCGGAGTGGACCTCCAGCAGTCCTACAGCAGAGGCTACTGACTGATAGAA